AATCCCCCCTCCCCAGGCCCTGGTCTGGAAACTTTTCAAAGCAATATGCTGGGGTAATCATGGGGATCAGCTCATTTGTTTCTCATCTCTCAGTGATCATTATCCTTCATTATCTAATGTCCAATTCTTGAAAACTATTGCTCTATTTATTTTTCCAATTTTTTGGTTGTTTCAGGTGGGAGGATAAATTTGCTCCCTGTTACTCCATCTTGACCAGATGCGGAAGTCATAAAAATTCTTTATGTAGTCGTCCTAGGTATGTGACTTTTTTTTTTGGTGAGGAAGACTGGCCCTGAGCCAACATCTGTTGCCAATCTTCCTCTTTTTTTTTCTCCCCAAAGCCGCAGTACATAGTTGTATATCCTAGTCGTAAGTCCCTCTAGTTCTTCTATGTGGTATGCGGCCACAGCACAGCTTGATGAGTGGTGTGTAGGTCCACACCCAGGATCCGAACCAGCAAACCCCAGGCCACCAAAGTGGAACATGCAAACTTAACCACTATGCCACTGGGCTGGCCCCTAAGTAGTCATCTTAAACTTGATTTTCCATCTTATTCACATTCTATTTACCTCTATATTTTGATCATTTTCTTAGATATATAGTTTTGGTTTTTAAATAATTAGATCTATTGTTTACTTTTTTAAAAAATTACTCCTATTGATTTTAAACTTGGAAAGTTGTTTCTACAATCTCAGTAAATCAGACATTCACTTCTTTTTCTGTTTTTTATTACATTTTGTTTCATATTTAATACTGGAATTAATTTTAGGGTAAGGTGTGAACCTCTAATTTACTTTTCTCCCTAAACTGCTAATTTTACTAAAATAAGTTTTGCATAATATATCCCTTCTCTCTCTTACTTGTGATACTTCCTATATAATGTTTTAAGTTTTTACATATTTGTTTCATCTACACTTATTTTTTCTTTTGATTTGTACATTTTAATTATTGTAGCAGTATTGTATATTCTAATATTTGAATAGGCAATCTTTGCCTCGACTCATCTTTTAAAAAAGTATTATTCTCATTTAATTATTTTGAATCTTAGAATTATTTTAACAAGACTTCATTCTCTGCCTCTCTCCTCCCAAAATTAATTCCAGTGGGATTTTGGTTGGAATAAATAAATATCTTTAGAAAATTTGATCTCTCTTTCAGGAATATGGTACATCATTTCTTTTTTTTTCTTAAGTTTTCTTTTACATCTCTCATCAAAGTGACAAATCAATTTACTGTTTGTGATTTCTTGTCCTCTGAGACCACAGTAGAGTTTAACATTGACGACAATCTCTTCTTTTGGGAGAATTTATCCCGCTAGTGGTTAAGGACTGAGCACTGCTCTTCTCATACCTCTCTATCCTGATCCTCTTTCTTGCACCTTCCCACATAGCAATCCTGACATTCTCTATGATCCTGGAGATACCTTCTTTCTCTTTACACTCTCTCTTTGTATATTCCTCTTTATGTAGAGAACCCAAGAACTGTAAATTAACCAGAATCTCTGTCCAGAGCTCCTGCCCAATTATTTTTGCATTCAGACCTTGACCTCCTGTTCTGGATACACTGTGCAATTACCCCTCCCTCTTATCTGTTCCAGGTCCATTCATTTAGAGCTCTTCAAAGCACTCATATCGGCCAAGCTGCAACAAATCATCCAGAAGAAATTATTTTATCTGTTATACTTCTATGAATATTGGCATTTTAGTAAGAAACTCTTCTCTTAATCCCCTCTATTCTTCCAAAAATGAGTAACTCTCTACGGAACTTTCTGAGAGTGCTGTAGGCAGGCAGGGATAGCATGTGGGTACTGATAATATTTTCATCACAACACTCATTCTAGCTTTGTGTCAGTCAGGGCCAATCAGGAGATGGAAGTCAATTAGTCATTTGAATAGGAAAGCTTGTATATAAAGCATTGTTAACTATAACAGAGGATTGGAGTAACAAGGTATTGGCTAGTGAGAAGTGAGGAGAGCTCTAAAGAATATAGTAATAGCAGATAAAAGGAGCAGAACCATCCCAAGAGTTGAGATACAGCATCCAAGAAAGAAGTCCCCCACCACCCCACACACAACTCAAGTCCAACCCTGTTGGAGACGGCATAGCTGTGGCTCACTGCCACTGTACCAGCAGGACTTGCTGGAAATCCACCCTCCAGAACTTTCTGGAAATTGATGTCCTTTGAGGCACCAGAGAAAGTTATTTATGGGCAGGTGTCCCGCTAGAGGCATCTGCTATGAGATGCATAAGGGGGTTGCTGGGAGAAGCTGCTGGCCATTGGGTGCTGGTGACCACTGTGCATTGCAGGAGTCACATGCTGGAGAAGCCACCTGTGCTACAAGGGTCTGAGGAAGGAGAAGCCATGGCAACAGTCTGCAGAGAGAAGCACAGTAGAACCAGGAAGAAGCCTCCTTCTTCTTACCATGTCACTCTACTGCCCTCTAGTGACAAAGCGAAATATCTCACCAGTAAGCAAAAGAAAAGTATCAAAGGGACCCAACTGCCTTTTCACAGAGCAGACAAAAAGGGTGAATGTGGAGCTGAGAGGCAATAAAATTGTATCACAGGTATGTTAATACAAACTCTGATACAAGTATATAAGTGACTTCGCTTATTTCCATCATACAATGGACATTCTATTTGTATCCTGTCAATTATTTTAGTTCAATCTAAAGACAGAGACTTTTTTTTTTCTAATTTATGGATTCTAGTGCCTGCCAGAAATTTCTGTTGTCTACTCTCAGTACACACTTGTTAAATGCTAAAATGCAACAATCTGAGTAGACAGTGTAGCTTGGTGGTTGAAGAGACCATGGGGCAGACTACTTAGGTTTGAATGGGATTCTGCCACTTACTGACTGTATGACCTTAAGCAACTATTAAATCTTTTTTGTGCCTCAGTTTCCTCATTTATATAATGGGAAAAATAGTACCAACTCATTGGCTTATTGTGAAGAGTAAATAAATTAATACAGGAATCTCCTACTTAATAGTAGTAAACTCTTTCTGAAAATCAGGTTTCTGCAGGAAAAAAATGGAGTCTATTTTACGTTATTTTAAAAAAAGAAAAATTTGAATGCGTAACAAATCAACTAACCCTATCTTCCAAGCAATTTCTTGAATTGTAACCAAACATAGTAAATCCCCATATATTCATAAACCATCATATTATATGTAAATATAAACACATACATATACACATATATGTAAATTATGTGTAAATCATATTAAGATGTAAAATGCTCAAAACATCACTCCTGCTTACCAAATAATATGAAGAATTGGTCCCTCCTTTGCCAGACACCTTCCTTTCCATTGCAATCATCTTTCTCTCTCACCTTTGCTTCCTTCTCTACAAATTTCTTCAATGCTTTCCCAACTTTGTCGTCAACTCATTGTATAACCCTAGGCAAAGACAAGGGCTGAATATAAAAGTCAGCAGGAAGTAGTTCCAGACCAACAGCAGTGGCAGTGAAAGACTTACACTGAACAGGATGGTGAGACCTTCCAGGCACCAGCAATATCCTATGGGGCACCTTAAGATGCACCTCTCTTGTTGACAAGAATTGCACTTTTCAAAAGGTTTATGCTGGAATTTGATCTTTTACCAATTGTATTTGGAATGTAACTTTTATTTTCTTTTTTTGGTAAGGAAGACTGGCCCTGAGCTACCATCTGTGCCAATCTTCCTCTATTTTGAATGTGGGACACCTGCCACAGCATGGCTTGATGAGTGGTGTGTAGGTCCATGCCAGGATCTGAACCTGTGAGCCCAGGGCCACTGAAGAGGACCATGGGAACTTAACCACTAGCCACTGGGTCAGCCCAGAATGTAACTTTTCCTGCACACTTTTATTTTAAAATGTATTGAGTTTGGGGGATGTAAATATAATTTTTTCCCTATATGAACATCAACTAGAATACATCCAACTGAAAGGTTTGAACTGCTTTAGAAATTGTGGGTATTAAAAACCAGGAAGTGCTCATTCAAGAAAACGCTAAGCTTAGAGAAAGCTGTTAGAATACTCCCTGCCTATAGAACATGATGTAAGGGTTCGTTACATTAACTGTCTGACTCGTAAACCTTGTGAATAGTTGTATTCTGTCCTTCATTCATTCATTCCTTCCAAAAGTACTTTTTGATCTCCCACTACAGGCCAGCCCTGTTGCTAGCCTTGGAGGTAGAATGGTGAACGAAGCTTGCTCCCAAGTTGGCGGGTGGGGTTGGTGGGGAGGTTCGCGGTGGGGGTGGAAACAGAAGCAGATTGAGGTAGCTGCTTCAAGGGAACGCAGTGCTGAGAAAGCAGGTGGCAGAGGCTGACCTCGGGGAGAAGCTGGCCCCGAGAGGGAGGCAGGAGGCTGTCGCCGAGAGCAAAGGTTTTGCACCCTCGCTCTGCACCGCGCGGGTGGGAGGGAGAAGGTGGGGCTGGATCCTGGGACCAAGATGAAGAAAGCGAGATGCTATCCAGTTTGCAATTAGAAGCCACTCAAAGAGTTAGTCAGAGGGAGATTATCTGATAAAGTTTTAAGAAAGATCTGGCGTGTTGGGTTGTGAGTCTTTGCTGGTGGTGATCGGGGGGAGAGGGGATGATATTCTCATACTCTAATTATCGACCCCGAATGCATTTTCCTCGCTTCCGACGTCCTAGCGTATTCGGTGGGCACTGAAGGGACGTTTGTGGAATATCCTAAACCAACATTAAATAAGGCAGCAGATAAGGGGAGCGGCCGCGGGGAGGAGATGAAAGTGGACCGGACAGGGTTGGGACCAGAGTGGGGCGGCGGACCAGGGCAACGGCGAGCTGGCAGAGGAGTCGCCTGAGAACGTACACTCACTGGTGTTTTTGACTGGAGAGGATTTCACTAAAGTCACCGGCCATCTGGACCTCTCTCCAATCCACATTCTGAGGCTCCAGCCACGGAACTCCGGGATAGAAGGCCCCGCCCCGGACCCTTGCGTTCCCGGAACTCGAGGCCGAAGGTCCTTTCGTTACCGCCGGACGCAACTCACCGCGACACTTCCGGCGAGGAAACATGGCGGCGGCCGTTCAGGACTCACGTGTGAGTGCGGGGAAAAAGCTGAAGAATTCCCTGAAGAAGAAGAAGAGGATGAAAATGGTAGCCAAGGCTGTAGCCTCGGAGCTGGAAGATGAGGACAAAGGTGCTGCCGACAGTGGAGGTAACGTCCCAGGGCTGAGCTTTGGCTGCTCGAAGGAGAGGCCGGGCCGAGTTTGCGGGAAGCAGGGGATGCGGGTTGGTTGGCTGTCGGCCGCCCTAGTTGTATCTCCGCGGGCCGTCGAAGGGGTGGCTTTGGTCCCATGGGAAGGCTTGAGGAAGCAGTGTTCCGGGAAAGGATGCTGTCAGCTGTTTAAGCTTGCACCTTCTTTTACTAGATGTTTTCAGCATCACTGTTATGAATTAAAACGGATGAAACTGCTGCTGCTTGCAGCAACAAGAAGCAGCCTACAGTAGCAAAGGGCAAAAGGAAGGGGGGTATTTGGAATGACAAGACTGGCGAAGGCCAAAAGAGGTCAGAGGAAGACGGATGGTATACTTGACTTTTCTTGTGCAGAATGCGCGTCCACATGCTGGGAGTTACAGACCAGATAGTAATAAAAGAAGAGTAGGTGGTTAAAGTAGAATAAATAAAAGTAGCAGTTGATAACTCTCTCTCTCTCAGAGAGGCCTGCTATTGAAAGGAAGGAAGGATATAGTTTGAGGCCTTGAACCATGAGGTGTCCGTGCCGCTCCTCTTTAGCATCATTCTTGGCTTTAGCTTCTTAGGTTTCCGGGAGTTGCACACGACCCCCGATCTTCTACTGCCCAGTTGTTGCTCCTTTGTACTAGCGAGAATTTTCTAACAGCCAGAGCTCTTCTTTCATGATGTATTTCAGATCATGTCAGTTGTTTGCTCAAGATGATCCAGTGGCTTCCCATCTCAGAATAACATTCCAAATCCTTAGCCTGTGTCGTCTAGGTCAGATCGTTTCTCTCATCATCTCCCACTATGCCCTTTACTAACTACCAGCAGTAATCAAGCCACCTTGATATTCTTGTGGTTTGTTTAACACATCAAATATGCTCCCACACCAGGGTTCCTGCGCTTGTTGGCTTCACTGCCTAGAATACTTTTCAAATGCTTGCATGGGTCTCTTTCCCTCCCTTTCTTCAATCTCTGGCACAATGCCTTATCGGTGAGACTTGTCCCTGACCACCCTATCTAATGTGCCACCACTTCTTTTCTCCTTGCCTTCCTGCCTTCACTTTTTGGCTTATTACCCTCCTTTATTTTTCTCAGCATATCCCAAACCGTCTGACATATTATATATTTGCTGCGTGTCTCTCAAGCTGAAATTTAAGTTCTGTAAGAGAAGAGACTGCTGTATCAACAGCGCCTGTTACATAGTGGATTCTTCAGAGATAGTGAGTGAGTGAATAAACCTGAACTTCTGGGACCAAGAAGAGGAAACTGTCATATGCTATTGCAGTCCCTAGGTAATGAGCCCTCATCCCCTGGCAAAGGAGTTAAGGAAAACAAACTTTATTGAGCAGTAATTAGAACCTCTGCTTAGTTCATGTGGGGTTGTCAGAGAAAGAAACACTACTACATTTGGAGCAAAATATCGGGACTGCTCTCACATTTAGGTGAAAATTAGATTTCTCTATTCAAGTACTGGATAATTCCAAGTTAGAACTGTTCTGGCTTCTCAATGCCTTGTTGTAAACACTGATTAGGTTCTAAGATTCTCTTGCTATTACAGTTTGCTTACATTATGGTTTAAGAAGGATTTTGGCTAACATGGAAACCTAACTATCCAAGTCAGTTGAAGGCACAATTGCTGTTTTCTGTTATCTTTCGGTCACCCTCTAGGTGTTGAGGATACAAAGGATGAATAATTTCCTGCTCTAGAATTACAGTCTTATGGGAGATAGGTATTAAACACAGAACTGTAATACAATGTATTGAGAATTATTAAGGGGCAATTATAAAGATAGTTATCACTATGGTGGTCCAATTAAAAATGATAAGGATGGAGACAGAGAAATCCATATCCTATAGAACCCAGCCTAGGCATTGCTTCCTTGTATCTTATATGTATTACTCATAGCATACTATGTTATTATTTTATTTTAACCTGTCTCTCTCCTTATAGATATAAGTTCCCTAAATGCTAGAACTATGTCTTGTCTTTATTTTCATAGAGGCTTCCTTGTGCATTTTGGTATTAAGTAACTTTTCTTGTTGAATAAATGAGTAAGGTGGTGTTTCATCTAGGCCTTAGAAGGATGAATCGTTTTCTAAGCCTAGAGGTGGAAGGTGGAGAAGACAGTTTTCTCAGACATAAGGAAAAGGACATACAGTGGCACACAGTCTCTTAAAATGCACGGGCTATTCAGGACAAAATTAATTGTCTGTTATGGCTCTAGCTATTCAGAGAAGTTACTAGGTGTGAAACCGGGAACAGAGGGTAAAGCCAGATTGTAAAGGACCTTGTATGCCGTATGAAGGAGATTGGATTCTCTATTTGTAGGCAGTAGGGAGCTGTTGAGAACTTTTGAACAAGAGAGTGACACATGTTTGTAAATATCACTGCTAGCTGTATGGTGACTGCCATAGAATGCCAGAGCAGTTAGTAGGCAACTGTGAAATTCTGTTAGGGCTTGCTCTAGGATAGGACAGTGAAGACAGAGGGAAGGACCCCCCTTGAAAAGTTTTTCAGAAGAAAAGCATTCAATTTTCCAAAAAACCAACTTCCAAATAAATATGTAGCACCATAAATTTTGGGCATACTATGCTGTTAGAAGAATTAGATGATAATAATAATGGCTATATTTTTCGAGCTTTACTAGGTACTGTCCTAAGCTCCTTAAACATACCACTTCAATTAATTCTGACAATAACCCTATGAGATGGATACTATTGTTATCCTCATTTTGCTTGTAAGAATCTGAGGCACAGAGAGGTTATAACTTGCTCACTCCAATAAGTTGATAAACAAGTTGATAAATGACACAACCATTATTGAAATTTGGCTCTAGAGTCTGTAGTCTTCACCACTGCTCTGATTTTGTTGAGGAACCAGGAGGACATAGGTGATCAAAAAAAGCTCTCCAAAAAGTAAAAGGGCAGGGCCTTAGAATCTGAAGAAAGGATTGGGAATGAGGAAACCTTGGCATTGAAACAAATTTTACTTCCATTCTATAAGGTTCCATTACTAAGGTAAATTTTTGTGATCAGATTTTCATAGCACTCCTGCTGTTTATAGCTGAAGTCTTCCTTCCTTCCTTCCTTCCTCTCTTCTCCCACCCTTCCTTCCTTCTTTTCTCCTAAAATCCACGTATTATCTCTGGAAAGAAATTCCCACTTCTGCTCAGTTGTATAAGAGGCACCTGTGTTTGCACTGCCTTTCAGAGTGACTTTGGGCTGGTCTTTTACTAATACCTGCGTCAGTTTCATCATGTATGAAATGGAGGTTATAATAATGTCTACCTCAGGATTGTTGTGATGATGAAATGAGTCACGTACGTAAAGCATGTCATGTTTGGCACACGGTCCCTGCTCATAAATATTAGTGTTAATGATCATGACATCTTTTCTCATCTAACAAAATGGCTAGTCCCATCTCTTTGCTGCCAAATAAACCTTCCAGCCTTTGATAAGAGTGATGTTTGTAAACTGGATCGTTTTCCAGAAAAGAGGGTAGAATTTCCTTTGGTAACTCTGCAAGGTAGCCGATGGCCTTTCTATTTTACAGATGAAGAAATGGAGGCTTGGCGATAGTTGCCGTTACACCATGAGGCCTCCCAGTGGAAAACTGATAAATCCATAGATACAGGATGTTGTCTCTTATTCTGCCCGGCTTACTCCATAATCTAGCTATTTAATCATGTATTTGTGATAAAATTCAGGATGAATAGTAATGATTTTGACAACTATTGATTGTCTGTGCTTAGTTGTTCCATAGACACATTAACATTTGCAAAACTGAATTCGTAATTTCATTTCCCAAATATGGAACCTACAGATAACAGGGATGGATTGTGTCATTATGAACTAGTTACGGTTTGCATACCCACCCTCCAGGATCTGACAGCTGCTTGCTCCTCAGTGCTCACATCTTGTCATCCCTCAGCTTGCTAGTGTCGTAGCCTTCTTGCACGTCTCACCTGAACACAGTACGTGCTCTCTGCTCCCAGCTGGGCTTGTGCTCCTCTACAGCACACTCCTTTTATCTTCACTCTCTCTTAACCAGCTTTTCTGTATTCTTTAGATCTCAACTTACTTGTCCCCATCCACTTTGTCTGTTGGGATTTACACTGTATCTCTGCCATAGAGATAAATAATAAACAGTGTTTTATTTAATAAATTCAGTAATGTAGGTTTTTGGTTATAAGATGGCATATTCTCCTTTGGTTTAACTCAGGATTTGCTGCTTAATAAAAGAAATTGCTGTTTTCCTCTCATGAAGTCAGATATTTCTGGGAAGGTGACCCAAGGAAACAGCTTTTCTAGTTCATATTATTTGTGTGCATGTGGCCTTGGCAGAACTATTAAGCTATCAAAAGTGTTCAGATGCTGTATACTGAGAAACTGTAAAGGCAGAAGATTGAATTTGGCTTCAGACACATGAGGAATCAGTGTGCAAATTATAGGCTTATTATTAAAGTGTACCAGCTCATTTTATCAGGGAACTGAATCAGAGACTTATCTTTGAACTTTAATTGGATCATAAAAATTGATAGGGATGTGCCTTATCGTACTAATATTTGAAAGCAACTTGCTTTAGCAAGATGCTACTTAAATTTCATAGAAAATACACAGATATAACCCAAGTGTTGTTTGAACTTTATTTTTCATCTTCTGGCTTTAATTTCTTTCAAAACATTGTGTAAGAAAGATAGAAAATTATGCTTTTATGAGTGTAAAACTTTTAAGTATCCTTTGTCAGACTTTGCAGAAGTGTCCTCATTCTGTGAGGAGAGCCCTTGTAAGTTTTGGTGACAGCCGTATCAGAATTTAGCATACAGCCTGATACATGGTGTGCTATTCAGTATCCATTTATTTATTGAATAAATTGCAAACATCTCTTAACGTGATTTTTACACTCTTCTCATGTACCAGATATCGTTGAGGGTAAAATTAACAGGACTTGTACATAATGTGAACTTGAAGGATAG